AGAGGAAGGTTTATATGTATAATAACATCCATTAAATATGGATGGAGACATACTGTTATTTTTTAGGTTTCTAATGCGATGTTGTAAATCGTAAATAATTAAATTTTTTCCGCTTATATTGCGAACCCTTCGAGATTTATCAAAATAATGTACTAAGTAGGTATTGTACACATTGAAAAGGTCTACAGACAACTCTGCGATGGTATATGTCTACCTCTTATGGATATCCCACAATAACAATTTTTTTGTCATTTACTTTTTACGACAAATAATCGCGGGTTGCTAGTAATAAATAAAATGATTATCAATGAATAGGTAGGTAGGGTCTATAGAAAATACAAAAATACGTGAAGAAAATGGGTTGATTTAACTATTTACGATTTATTAATTTTTTATTATTTATTGAAAAATTTATTCCGAATATTTCTGCATTAGCGGAGTTGTGAACAAACCAATAATAATGTTTTTACCGTTACTAGATGAAAAGGCCAGGCCATAATAAATAATTAATAATATATTATCTTTGGTTGAAAAAAGTGTATATAATATGGTAGCTTCATAAATTTATTTATTTGAACTTTCTATCACTACAGCAACTTAACAGTAATTCGATAGAAAATAATTAAAAATCCTATGCGCTTTTTTACATAAGAATATATTTTTTAAGACTTCGAAAAGTAAAATGTGAATTTAACTGTAGGTACTCCCAAATATATAAATTGTCACTCTTGTATTAGTGATGCTATAATTAAAAAGAATCCGACAATTCAATAGGAGTACATTTCTTTCTCACCAATTTATTACATAGCCAATATCACGCTGCAAACGCAAACAATCTTTCACGCTACAAATAGGGAGTGACGAATTCAAATCATTTGTGAACTAAGTAGACGCCTAGCATCGTCTACTACCCCAGGCAGGTAATTTATCATTATTAAAAATTCTAATGGCCCCAAAGTACCGCTGTGTTACATCAGACCAGCCTTGCGATTCTGTAACTCTCTTTTCGAACTCTCACAGCGGTTTTCACAGCGTCGGTCGCGCTCAAATCAGTCGTGAAGTATTTTACGAATTGGAATTCTGATAAACAATAAACTACAAGCTCCCTCCTTATAAAATATTTTATAACCACTTAGTCATGTTACGTTATGTTAATTAAGATCAACGTACGACAGGTGAAGCAACGGAAATCTAATGAGCTCTGCTTGAACTACTGTCCTGAAAGATACAAGAAAGGGAATTTACAGACTGACTTCATCTCATAGAGAAGAAAAGTTCAGTTATTCTAGACATACATGATATGTCCCTTTGTAGACGACAAACAATTAGACGCTATGGGAAAGTATAGTAAAGATAAAGGCATATATCGTCTTTATTAGCACAATAAAATAAAGCACTGGTGTATCCGATTAAACAGAGAATTGTTTTATTGTATTAAGTCAAGCAATTATATGTATACATATTATATATTTCAGGTTTATATACCTACTACCACTATGTTACGACATGTTACTATGCTATGCTCTGCTATGCCATGCTATTCAAATTATGTAATTTTTTTCAATTCGTAAGACCCTGGACTTGTCAGATTGATTCTGTACTTGATTTTAAAGGCTCCATACCATGACGTCAAAATAATCCCTCAAATACCCTCCACCTCGAATGAATCAAACGTGCTAAATAATTTGTGTATATTGGTCATAAATCAAGGAAAATAAAAATTCCTTATTTGAATTTTAATGCTAGGTAACCTAGTTTTTTGCTAAACGCATTTTACTTCAACCTTTTAACTTTTTTGGGAAATCCTTTTTAATTTTGATTTCCTGTATTTTTAAACTAGGTTAACATAATTGGGGGTTTCGGCGTAACACCGAATTTACTTTATTGTTTTTATGATATATTTAGTATTGTCTTTGATTAACATAACTTTTATTCATTTAATAAAACACTATTTTGACCGGATTGAAGTTATGTATTATTATAAATTTACAACTATTTAACATAATTTTAAATTTATCCGACGTTTCGCGTGCTTTACAGCGTGCGTGGTCACGGTGACTGAAGACAAAAGATGTTGAATGTCAAAAAGTATCACAGCTGCAGAGAAAGTTGCATTATCTGTATTTATTTCCCCGGAGTTGGTATCGACTAAAAGATGGAGGGTTTTATCTTTTGTCTTCAGTCACCGTGACCACGCACGCTGTAAAGCACGCGAAACGTCGGATAAATTTAAAATTATGTTAAATAGTTGTAAATTTATAATAATACATAACTTCAATCCGGTCAAAATAGTGTTTTATTATATGATATATTTTATAGTAATATAATCAGGTCCATTGTAGATTAGTAAATTTATAGTTTGAAATACGAGGGTATAATCAAATTGTTATTCGTATATCATCGACCAAAATAAAATACTCGGAAATTTTTATTTATTTACTTATTAAAAATTTAAACAAATGTGACAGTGGGACATATTGTATTAAACAAATTGTTGAATAAATTAAAATAATATGACCGCATATTATAATTCATACATTAGGAAATACAGAAAACTTATATTACTTCACTATTCGGATGTACCTATCACTTGACCTATTCTCAGTTTAATCAGAACTCAGTTTGAGAAATAGCGTATCAGCCTCCGTCAAGCCGAGCCTAATGAACTTAATCTAATTGAAGAGGTCAATTCCTATCTGTATAGGAAGCCAAACTTTGACTTCTTGAAAACCTTTGGGAGGTATGACAGATAAGTCTTAATATTGTTTATATTAATAATTAATTATATAATTTTGGAAAGTTGTAGGAAGGATTCATATTTAATGTAATTTTAAACATTATTTGGTAACATTTCGATATTCATAATTTTAAGATAAGGTCTTTAAAGAAAATATTCAAATAGATGCACACTCGCTTGGATAGCGCACCGACCCAAAGGGCTTCAGAAACAAGAGTAGGCCATCTTGGTTCTTCTAGAACAAGCTTCGCCGATCTTTACTGCTGCTTGCCAATATATAAATGCTGCAAGAATATATCTGGGTTGGCTGTCAGACGGCATGTTGACATGTCCATTAGTTCTTCTAGGTTTCACTAATGAATATCCTAAGCCACACAATAACGGGAAATAAAACAATTTTTGTTATTTCGCATAAAAATATGATTTGATTGCTATAAATTGTGGTATAATCCGTAAAGATACTCCATTTTGTAGCAAGTAAACCTATATCATAAACTGGGTCCTGTTAAAGTATAAAACTATCCTAGAAGAAAAGTCTCAGCTATTTATCCGGCTAATGGCTACTCGCTGAATGATTGTGGTCGGAGGTCGGTGTCCCTTTCGCGATGCCTACTAAAATAATAGCCACTATTTATCATGTCCAGTATGCAGATGCCGAGAAAACCGTGTTTTATGGAATAGGATACTTTATATTATCTTTTTAAATCGCTTTCATTTATTTTAAACACAATACGCATACGGATGCTTATAGTAAAGGAATGAACTGAAGTTTTGACTTAAATTATTCCACTTAAATTCCAGCTAACCTAATATTAATTCAATGAAACAGACAGAGAATGGCGCTACAACCCTAAATGGGTCTTGGGACTTAGATTGCATCTTAGCGTTTTTTAGACCATTTTTATTTTTTTGGCAATTAGTAGGTCATCGGCATCGATGGAATGCAATCGATTTTTGGGTTTGAGGAATGCGAGTTTCCTCACGATGTTTAACTGTAGAAGTGGAAATTGCGTACATATAAATAAAATTCCATTTTTGCACAGCAGAGTGAAGTTTGCACTTAAGCTACTAGGCCAACACTGCTCTTGTCTATTTCATTGAACATTTTTCGTTATAGGAAAGTAGTCTTCCATGCTTGAGATAGTTTGGGTTTAAGACATGCCGGTTTTGTCACCTGCAATAGATTATTGAATCCATTAGAAGACGTCGACGAAGACTACGTGCACTATAACACAATATTGAGATTAGAACGTTCAGACCTTAACCAACAAAAGCAACAATATTTTACAGCACTGATGTCAGAAGAAACTTCCAGGAACCTTATTGTTTTTAAGTCGGGAAACGTACGAAAAATAACCACCAAAGCTACAAGTTTTCCTTTACATTAATTTAACTCATATTTATTTGAGTGTTATTGATATCAGTTAATATAATCGCATTAAATCAAGTCGATGAGTGATGAGTTTTATGCGAGACTCGTATAAATTAAATTTCACTCACATCAAATCAATTGACTGAAACCCTTTTAGTAAAATTTAAAATTCATGATAAGCCTTTTTTGGAATATTAACTATCGCTCAGTTATTAACGGATATTTCAGTAGCATTTGTTGTTTTTATGCATTTTATTTATGTAGAACTGAAAATAAATATTAATAATAATCTAGTAGTAGGCCTCAGATTGCATCCGTTTCTTTGATAATTTTTATTTCATAGACAAATAGTTGATCTGCCTTTTCTTCACCGTACGAGCAATTATTAAATGCGCAAATAGACAGAAAGACTATTGGAGCACAGCTGGGAATCGAACCTACGTCCTCAGAGATGAGAGTCGTCTACTAGACCAACACTGTTCCTCATCTTTGTATTAAAGATCTTTATTTTCCACGTCAAGTGAAAAACCGTAAAAAATATTGTATCTGTCTTGATAACAAACAAACACTAAATTTTATTTGGTATATTGTATTCGTAAAGTGTAAGCAATTTTAATATTAGTGAAGAAGCCAAGTAAGTTCATTCATAAGAAAATATAGAATAAAATATGACTACACCGGAGGCCCTATAATTTCTCCTAAAATGTGTTTGCGGTTCAGAATACTTTTATGTCGTAAAACAAAAGAAGCTAATAAATCTAAAGGCCTGTGTGGAACTGAAAAGACAGTGATTATTCATTTCCAAGGTCACATAATTTTTCCTTCCGCGTTTTATGAAGGATACTTAATATTGAGTTTGAAAAAAAGACGAATAATTTCAAACAATTTATTCTAAAGATATTCGCGTCGCCTTGCAAACGCAACACTTAGCCCGCCAGACGAATGTTTGGAGCTGTGCGAGTGAGTAGTTCTTCTTGTATCCGTGGACCTTCCAGATCGTATAGATTTTAGGGACCTAACTTCATCCTTGCCCTCTTCTGCTAGTGCTTCAGAACTGTCATTTGTTTTTGGTGGTCGCTTCACAGGTTTTATGTCTCCACTGAATTTGAGCGCGAACTTTAACTCTTCTATCAATTCGTATTTAAATGTGGTCTGTAATTTAAATGTAGCTTAACAAGATTGTACTCACAATTTCGACGTAGTTGACACAAAATGTAGCCAATTTTCCATAATTCAGGGTATTGTGTGGTTAAATAATCCAGTGAGCAAGAAAAAATAATGGTATCAATTTTATTATTCCCCGCAACGCGATATACGGTTTTGAGTATTTTTACACAACAAATATTCTAAGTATTGAAAAAGGGGATCCTGAAGAACATTTTTACCATACATTTTTTAACTTAACCAAGGTACATTAATCCTTGGTAAGGTATTAAATCTCTCGGTGGTAAAATAATGGTATCAGGTAAGGTTCATCACTACCTTAAAGTGTTTAACAATAGATTGTATTCAGAACTCACGTTATATTTGACTGTTCGTTTGAATACACCCCAAAGCATATCCAAAATTGATATGAGTAGGCCAATACAGCAACCAACCCCTAACACCACAAAAGCTCCTAACATGTTCTTCATTCCTAGTTGCTTTTGCGCCTCATCTTGCTTCTCCTAGAACATCAAAAGCATTAAAATTTAAATAATTGTTTTATTTGTATTACATCAACCATTCTTTAGATATCTACTAACACGACATTAAAAAATCAGAAGGTTTATTTTAAAGAATGACTAAAAAACCTTTGTATGAGTAAAAAAAAAATTCTCGCCAATTACCTGTCCAAGAGTATACTTACTGGGTGAAAATTAGTTTATTCAAAAATAACTGAATGAACGCAATTGATTATACGCTATTATAATATAAATATGCAATACGCGGATTGAAGTAAGTAAGTAGTAAGGAAAGTAGGTAACCATTTTCAGAAGAATCTTTTATTTTAAAACTATGAATGCAGTAAATGCAAAATAATCTTAATCTTTATAATGTAAAACATTAATTTCGATTAAGTAAAGAAATAGGAGATGATTAGTTTTGAGTTTAAGTATGAGATGACTGACTGCAATAATTCTGTTAATAAGATAATAAGTCAATATACCTAAAGATGAAAGTCATGAAAAACAAATTAACCCGTTTGAAGTTACAACTGAATCAGTTTCACGCAATTAGAATTTGCAACGTCAGTTTTCCATAATTGTCTGTCTCACATCCGGTATGCTAATTCCGTTATGTCATAATTGCTACGGACGCATTTCTAACACATGGTACGATTTACGACTCATGTAATAGTTATTCGTTAATGCAATTGATTAAGATTTTTGTTACTAGTCGCTACACAGCCTCTTCAGTGACGTACCTAAGGCCGACGAAGAAAAGCAAAATCTCTGCTATAAGTCGGGGAGATCTTATACGTGAACTAAATCTGTTACAAAAGTATTTTTTTTAGTAACAGCTTTAGTTATATCATAGGGCCGAATAACAAATAAGTCGAGTATGTTCTACATCAATAATTTTAAAGTATGTTAAGCAATTCGTACTGCGATCATCAGATGGGTTGGATTAAGATCGCAATTTAGATGTATACGTAAATAAGGTTATTTGCGTGGAAAAGTAAAGTAATGAAAAAGTGGTCTGAATCTGATCACCCAATAGAACATACTTACTCCACATCTGCCTCCGCCTCTCTTTTCTTTCCACCAGAGATCTTTTAGCTTCTGTATCTCTCCAGCTTCCTTTAATTGTATTAAAGCGTCATTAATGTAAAATCTATACGGTGATCCTGGAAATTTAATTGTCTTTTGAGAACATTAACTTCAACAAGAAACCCAAAAATATATAAAACATAATTTAGTAAGGCAAGTTGTTCAAAATATACATTGCTTACACGATTATTTATGTGAGAACAAATAGGAGAAATACATAATTGCTAAAAAACACGACAAGAATAATACTGTTCCGTTCGAAAATTATTCAAATTCTTAAAAATATTGGCGCTTTCTTACGCAGCTACAAAAATGTTTTAAAATGGCTGTTCAAAAAAAATGATTAGGTATTATTATTATATATTTTGTTTGGCTTTGTTATATTCCTACCTAATTGCTATTTATGAGTTTACATTATTTTGCTAATCCCCTGGGGATTAGTGTGCAGAGATTCCGCGGGCTACTCGATTGCATCTAGTTAGCGCTGCGCCTGATTCGTAAGTTCTCATATCATTTTCACATATTGTTTGATTGTCAATTTAATATGTATGATGGTTGAGAGCATAATCAAAATAAAAATAAAAAATGATTTTTAAACCATTTTATTGTATGATTACCAAAAACTTTCTTACCTTTTTTCATACCAATTGCATAGCTTTTCGAATCAAGTAATCCTCCAACTTGTAATAAGTCACAGTGCCTCTCCTTCGTGTATTCGATTGATGTGGATTCCATGAAAAATGCATACGTTGAATTTTCGACTCTGAAAAGTAGATAGAAAAATAAGAACATCTTATTTTCAAACACCAGATCAAGACAGCTTTGTTAGTTTATTTTATTCGCTTTAATTACGCAACTTACGTCTTCGTTGACAGATTTTGCGTGAAATAATTAAACGAAAAACATCAAGATTTTTTAGAACTTAGTATATACATTCTTAAGAATTTATAAAAGGTGTTTAAGGATTTATATAAATAGTCAACATACAGTTCCACTCCTACATCGTTGTCCACGACCAGCCATCCCTTAGAGTGCATCTTTTGAAACATTTTTGAATAGATTGGATTTGTAGACTCCTGAAGAATAATAAAGTAATTAATATTTCAGGACATTAATCTATGCGTTTAGCTTATAATATAAAATAAACCACTGGCGCTACAACATAAAATAGGTCTAGCCCTCAAAATGCATCATTTTTATTAATAAACAAGTAAGTGATCTTTCTTCTTCGTAAATTTTTGCATTTGAGACATGCCGGATTGTTAGATCCATAAAATGCATTGGTGCATGGCTTGGGATCGAACCTACGACCTCAAGGATGAGAGTCACACGCTGGAACCTCTAGGCCAACACTGCTTCGAATGCGTATAACTATTATATATTATACATAGTATATAAAAAAAATAGAATGTGTTTAATTTGTATAATAAACTATCTTACTATATTCGTTACAAACGTGTAACTTTGCAGCCTTACAGAAAAATCTAAAATAACCCTTCATCGGTTAATACTTTCTGTCAGAATTGTCAAATATGTCAGTAAGATGAAAATCTCAAATGGGAACGGGTGCCACCGACACGCCCATGAATATCATGAGTAAATTTACGGAGTAAGTCGCAAGTTTAAGCAAGGGAGAGTGTCAATTCTCCCCTTTACTAAAAAGAGGAGAATTGACACTCTCCTTCTGCCTAGCATCTCGGTCATAGATCTGCCTGATCCCGTGCCAGATTACTATGGTAGAGGTCCTATGTATTAAAAAAAAATACTTTCTGTGATATCGATAATAGTCAACTATTTCATACCAAAACGATACTTATATTGTTCTGACCTTAAAGAAATCCTTAGTAGATCCTTTTTTCTTACAACCATAAGCTATGGACTTATGATTAAACAACTCCTCAACAGTTTGGAAGGGAAGAACGTTCTTCTCTACAGTGAGGAAAGCTACTAGAGTCCCCACATATGACGCTACAATAACCATCGTGAAGAACCACCAAGCACTCGTTATTATACGCGGGGCCAAGGCACTGGAAATCACAATGTTATATTATTTTACGATTAAGTTAATAATTATAATAGAGCCTTTTTTATTTCCATATTAATTCAAACGTTGTTAGTATTTACTTATAGCTAACTGTTAGTAGTAATATTTTAGTCGCCTGTGGATACGCCTCTTGGGTGAATGCCTCATCCAACAGTTTCCAGAAGTCTCTATCTATGCCAATAGTCTGCCAGTATTTTCCTGCAATTTCTATCAAGTCATCAGCCCACCTTCTTTTTGGCTTGCCCACTTTTCTTTTCCCGGGTGGTTCCTTTCATTGTCTTGCCTTTAATATCCATCTGTTGACTAGGTATGATCAGCCATGATCATGATCAGCCAACATGACGATTGAGTAAACATTTTATATTAAAAATATATCAGTCTAACCATGGCTCCGTCAGCATAAGTCATGTATCCTAATCGACTAAAAGTAACCATCTTAAACTTATAATTATTAGTATTGCAAAAACTCTTAAATACTGAACAAATTTTTGTGAAACGTGACAATAACATAAGCAGTCGAATAAGTTTAATTGTCCATCAGTTTTTCAAATATCAGTACGAATTTAGTATACCTTAATACTTATTGATAATTATAACGTGAGTAAATATTTCTGTCGAAACCTATTTGAAAAAAATCCAGTGTAATTTTTAATAAATGAATGATAGGATAAACAAAGGATACACAAACTTTCAGTTTTTGCTTTCCTGTCACAATCGGTTTGGCAGGGATAATATATGGGTAAATCCATACTTGTTTTCATCGAATTGTTTAATAACAAAACTTTATGCCAATATATGCCAGTAAGCGATATATCTATAGCGATCACGACGATATAGAACGATATCTATATTTTTATAATATATTCGCTAAACTCAAGAATGAAAGGAACGGCAACGGCACGGAGGCAAATGGGCAGGAGGCTCATCTGATGTTAAGTGATACCGCCGCCCATGGACACTTACATTGCTCGCAAGTGCGTTGCCGGCCTTAAAAGAATTGGTACGCTTTTTTCTTGAAGGACTCTAAGTCGAATTGGTTCGGAAATACTTTAGGAGGCCGCTGGTACCACATAGCGGTGGTGCGCGTCTAAAACTGCCTTAGAAAACGTTCAGTTGTAGAACGACGGACGTCGAGGTGATACGTATGGTATTTTTTAATACAGTTGCTCAAAAAGTGGCGTATTGCAGGGACGTATAGCGTTCGGGATGTGGGCTATTACACACTCGTGCTTTTTTTTACCTTTTCCGAACTAGTGCGTTTTCTTTCCCAACTGTCAAAATAATGTCTATTAAAAGAAAAAACCAACCACGAAGTTTTTACTAAAAAAAATCATAGAAATTTTTATGATTCATGCAAATATTTCTAAAAAGAAGCTACTGCTTTGTTCCAATATCAGATTTAATGATTTGATTCAATGAGTTAGGTTAGATTTCATTTCATCTCATTAAATTTCATTTCATATCAATAAAACATTGTACTGAAGACTTGGCTGTATGGGCATAGTTCCCTTTGCCTACCCAGAATGGGTGAAGAAAAACAAATATCTGCTTATATTCTTTTACGGTAGGCACCATTTTCCATAAATGTTCTTTGCGCGTTTAGTTGTTTGTTATATTATATATTAAATATACATGAACAATCATACGAAATTAATAATAGTTTGACTCAAACAGTAACTAAATATGCAACCTAAAACTTCTCCAGTTTAAAACTGTATTAAAAATAGTTGTTCAGTACACGTGCGGAACCATCATTGCAACTTGTTCCGACTGTCAACCCTCACCTTCGGCTGCGCCTCGGCTCGGGTAGACATTTGTCGAAACTCTTTGCAATGACAGGCTTTCCGCACTTGTAATGAAATATACTATTGTATTCTGCCTTGACGTTGGACAAGTTATATTATTATTTTTAAGAAATCATAGTTTATGTAAAGAAGAAGCTATTATGTGTTAGATAATTTAAATACTTATCATTTATTATACACACGTCCGTCAATTATTCGTCAAAATATCACATACAAAAACTACAACTTTGTTTTTGTACTTACATGGGTGCAATTTCCGATCCCTGCTGCATAACAGACCCAATGATAAGCCACACAGAGTTGGCAAGGCTGAACTGATTGCTCAGTTCCTCTGGCTGCTCCTCACACGGTACCGGGTTCTGCCACTCTTTCTGAGAAATTCGCCCGACGAATATCATAATTACTCCTAGCGCTGATTGCACCAGCACCATGTAGTACCATACCTAAAAGGGGCTTTTGATATTAGTATATAAATATACGCGAAAGGCTTCTTTAATCGTAGAATAAAACGTAAACGTGTTTTTTTTAAATTAGTTAAATGAATACTTTCAGTGACAATAATAAGGTAAATTATTAAAATGAAATGAAATGAAATGAAATATTATGTCATAATGATAAAATTTGATTATAAAATAATTATAAAATTTTTCCAGATAACGATGACTATTTATTGAATAAACATTTATTTTCATTAAATACAAAAATTTACGAATTTATTTCAAATCGTGACTACTTAATTCGTTTAGTCAGTGACTTCGAAATACACACACCGTACACACTACTGCATATAGACTGTATATATATACCATCATATAGCGTGGCGTCGCCACGGCATGCGTCGCCACGCCAGTAATCGGTTTTACGTACGGCTATAGATGTTTCACATCAAAACAGGCAAATACATATAGTATAGCCAAAGAGATTTTGTTACAAGTTCATACATAGTATAATGCGAAAAGACTTTTTCCCCAACCCAATATGTATACCTTAGTATAGCGTGGCGACCCGTCGCCACGGCAAGCGTCGCCACGCCAATAATTCGGTTTACAAGTGAGCCTATAGATGTTTCACATCAAAAAAGTTGTGGCGTAACAATAGGGTGGCAGGGCTGGCAAAATGCCACGGGCCTCAGCTCCGACCCAAAAGGGTCGCCTGCCCTTGCCCAAGAGATATTATGTTCTATGGATGAATGTGAAGTCTCCAATACGCTTTGGGCTAGCGTGGGGACTACAGACCATTCCCTCTAGCCTAAGAGAGGAGGCCTATGGCCATTAGTAGGACATATACAACGTGTATACGTAATTGAGTACGCTGAAAATCTCGAAGTTTATTAAAACTAAACTGTACAACGTGACGATTTTTACTGATAGGGCCCCATCAAAAGTAGATTTGCCACGGGCCCCAGATGGTATAGTTACCCCACTGCTTCCTACCGTGAAATGCCGGCATCCACACAAGCCATAGGACCTTTTATAACAGTAGTTAAGCCATAAAATAAGTGTTTACCTCTTTTGAGAAGACGGCCATGAACGAAAACATTTCTGGAGGTTGTTTACTTGGCTCCTTGTACAGAATTCCGATTCCAAGAGACATGAATGGAATCGAGAAATCTATACCTTTTTGCCGTTCTGCTGTCATCGTAAAGTCACAAATTGCAAATTCCGCTTTCTGAAATAATTTCAACGAAGTTTTCCCGTGGAGTTGCTTTATTAAACCCTCTTAGAAGATTAATATAACTAACAAAATTTTGTGCGAGATTTAATTTGCGTAAAATTGTTATGTTTTTATATTTTTTTATTGCTCTATATATTATTAGACAATTATTATCTTAGCAAGCTTATTCTACCTACTTCTGCGGGTTTTCAGTGTCATATACACTATTTGCCAAAAGCAACTACCTATAGTAAATAAGCTTTAAAAAGTTATCATGTTAGCTTGAACAGCACCATAGATCGGAACCGCCTTTCTTACTTACTTCTTCTATGAGCTTCAGAACCATTCCACTCCATTTTTGAGTATCCTCATCCAAACTTCCATAGTCTCCTTCCACTTCGAATTCATAGTTAAATCCTAATATGTCTGCTATTTTATCGATTAAATCGATGGTGAAACCTTCATAGCGATCGTTCCCTTCAAGCTTCATTATTGACTCCTTTATGTATCCGTATGGTGGTGTCTGTAAATATAAAGATAGGGACTCACAGTATGAGGACATCGGTAAGTAGCGATCTATAAGTATAATCGAATAGTTGATGTATTATAATATTTTTTAAATGGAAATTTTGACAAGATCTCAGTTTACATATGGTAAAGTGCAAAGACCATTAATATAAGTGGTTATTATTTGATTTTGGGGCGTCAATCTCTCATGGCAGCAATCCGTCTCTCCTTTCATGCTACACGAATGTTTCTACGAGCGTATTTTTACGAATGCTAACACTAAAACTAAAACGTAAATGTTAAACATAACTTTTAGAAAAGTCAGCAAACATTGCAAACATTTAATAAAAATAATGTTGAATATAGCGCGATTTTCAACTTGTGATAGTAAAGATTCACAATTATTACAGTATCGGTTCAAAATAGTGTAACGTACCGTAGAAATAAGAACTTTAAACGTTTTATTTCTCATAATTGTTTCCTCTGCAATTTCCGGATTCGGTACCAATGGTCTACTCATCCTTAATTGATTATTTTCCCACGTAGCTATCTGTAAGAGTACATAATATATTATGAATACAAAGAGAGTCGACTCTAGTTACGTATTTCCATGGTGGTTCAGCCTAAACTGTCGAATCCCAGTCATCAAGTGTAATCAACCAATTTTGTAATCGTTTTTAACAAACGAATACAGACCTTAAATTCAATATTATTATTTTAAATTAGCTTCTATATTAACTGATTTTGACGTAATACGAAGTTATTTTCGTATGAAAAAGCCTAACATAATTTAACATACCGTCTGATTGCCTGCTGGTGTTAACTCTAATATGTCAAATATCACGTTGTTTCTTTGTCCAAAGCCATCAAATATAAGTGGCCCTGTAAGCCCATTTACTTTAGCCTGGATAAAATAAAATAAAACAGATTAATCGTGTGACGTATCTTTCCTCATCATACTTCACCAAATACCCGAAAACTCCCAATGAGGTATCTTTATTTGCTGAGAATCGAAACCAGTCACTTATCAATTCAAGCAAGGTTCAAATCGATAGAATCTTCCAGATTCTGTCTGTAAAAACCAACCTATTTAGTCACCACTCATTTGAATTATTCCCGAATACAACAGAATGAATGCTACTTACTCTGAACTTGATATATTCGTTATTGGGGTAAATTGAAAAAAAAGTGTTGTTTAACATCTATCGGGTACTTAATCTTGTCTACTTTAATAAATAAATAAAGGACCTCCAAGTGTTAAAATTGTGTTACTAACAACGCTACGGCGTATAAAACTTTATTCATGACAGAAATATGATTGTGACAAAAATTCATCTATCGCTAGTGCCCACATTAGGGAGCCCCTGTCTTGTGGGTATCTAGAATACAATAAAGCCGTGGTAACTGGTGCATGTTTAAAAAAACTTATTTAGGAAAAAAGTCATAGTGTTACAACTAATCAAACAGAAGTCGCATAAGATATAAAGTATGCGTGAATGTATGGGTGTATGGCGCTATAAGCGTGCGCTGTGTCTGTGTCAGTTTTTTGAACTTCAGAGTCATGCCAAAATAATTTATTATAAAGACGACAACTTATTTGAGTAACACGCATGAAATACAACTTATTCTATTATTATCCAAAAAGGTATTAAGATTTCAATCTCAACTCACCGTCTTCATAAAATCCATCAAAGTCGACCCGTACACCCATGAATCATATAAATCACAATTCAAACTCTCAGCTTCGATGTGACGTTGCACTTCGTTCTGACGAAGGTAGTTCACTTTCGCCCACGCATTAGCGAATATCCATACAGCATCATGGATGAGCATTGCCTTTGTTTTAATAACAGATTCAGTGTTACCGGTTTCTTCGTTGTACTCCGCTGTAAAGTCCCATAGCTTTTCGTTCTTTAAACTAATTAGGCGGAAACCTGTGGGTATAAATATATGATTATGTTATCACTTTTTAGTAAGGAAAACTTAGACCAAATAAATAATTTAATGTATAAAAGAAAGCGAGGATAATTTATTCTAATAATATTAATTTTTAGATTAGATTTATGTAATTTTTTTCTAGGATGTCATGAATTCATTTTTATTAAAGTTTAATCTTTGAATACATATATTAAGACACAAATTGCATTAGGTAAGGAAATGTCGAAATAGTAATAATAATAAATTCGTACTTTGCCACGAAAATGGTACATAAGATGGTTGATTTATAGAGAACTGCACAATCAGCTTGCTAATGAGAAATAATTAAAAACTAACCCGTTTTATAGAACACTGTGCCTTTAAAAATCTACTACTACTAAACATACTTTTATGTTCAAAATTTACTTTAACAAGTCGAATCCTACCTTCGATTTCTGGCGATACAATTGCGAAACAGAAATTGGCCCTATTGGACTGCATAAACCACTGAGCCATGTCAAGTTTATTAAGCGAGATGTAGATATGAATAAAACATACAAGCTTTGGGTTCATACATCAGTCGATGGCATGACTCAATGCGTCTGAAACCGTTAAAGTATTTTCCAAGACACTTTAAATGCGAGTTTTCACTTTTGTACATGAAGTTAAAATAATAAAACTTGTTTACGAATAACAATTCGAGAATAAAGAACTACATCAAAGAACACACAGCAATGTCTATTATATATTTGGCTAGTATACTACGGATGCTTTAGGCAAATATGGTTTAACGTGACCGTAAAAATCTTAAAATTGTTTTTATATAAATAACATGGGCAAACGGGCAGGAGGTTCATCTGATGTTAAAAGATGCCATGGACACTCACATTGCCAGAAGGCTCCCAAGTGCGATGCCGCTCTTTTAAGAATTGTTCGCTCTTTTCTTGACGGCCAATTGCCTATAAACTTTCCAATTTTCTTTGATAACAATGTGTCTCAAAAGAAAGTTCATATTTAGTTGATCGATTTAAAAAAAAGTAAGTCGTGTATCAAAAGTGTTTATTCATTATTGAAGTACACATTTTGGGAATTTATTTCTTAAAAATAATACCGTCCAAATGTAGACCCTCGCGTTCGCGGCACTCATTTAATCGAACAATAAAATTACTTAGACACCGACCTTATAATTTAACGATTGCATTTGTTAAATAAATTTTATGTAAAAGTTTTATTGCAATTAATGAATTTATTTTATTCCAATGAGAAGAGAAAACTTACCTGTCATATTAACTCCTCCATATCGGTATCTAGTCAAGTCTAAAGAGAATAGATCGGGTGATAGAAATATGTATGAATGTTCGTCTGCCATCAACCCCACTTGCTGTGCTTGTCGTAGCACTAGTTGTAATTTCTCGGAAGAGCAATCCACCACAAAGTTCGTATATCCAGAATGTTTTGCATTTATTAGAACTTTTCTGTTAAATTTCTTAATTTTTAATTCTTATCTAGTTGTAAATTGAAGACCATGTTGGTAAAATGCGATATAGTATGTTGAGAGAGAGAGAGAGTGACACACAAAGACGAGTGTTGGATTAGACGCTTCAGTGTGCGACTCTCTTCCCTAAGGCCGTAGGTTCGAACCCCGGCTGTGCACCAATGGGCTATCCCGGCATTTAACGCTCGGTCGTATGATGGAGAAAACCATCGAGTCCACTCGATGAATGACATGCCTTAAACCCCATAAGTCGCCGTTTATCTAGTACAGAAGGCTTAGCGCCTACTTTCTTTCTTTTAGAAAAAAACAAATGATCACGAAGCAGAAATCTGATGCCGAGATCATTATTAAAACAGTGTAATAGATATATAATTTAATTAGTAATTACACACCCTCACGTACATACCCCCATTTTAACACCATCACACAACACATCCGAATTAGGTATTACTTTGTTAAATATAATATTTAATAATTTATATTGATTTTTTCCTTTCGTAAATGTTTGTATCGATTGTGTTTATTTTTTTAATGTAATAGGAGGCAAACGGGCAGGGGGCTTATCTGATATTAAGTGGACACTACCAGAAGGCAATGTGAGTGTCCATGGACGGCTTGCATGACCTGTTGAGTTGAATACGGTCAAGCGGAAGGCGTTGGTACTGGGGAGATGTGAAGTATCGTCTCGCCTTGCTAAGCACATCAAGCTTCTTAGAAGCTAATTTAGCCTTCCCTTTCAAATGACCACGAAACTGAACGTCATTCAATATATCAGTATTCCAATAGCTAGTAAGGCTTTAAGGAGAGTATCTTCAAAGAGAGGAGTACCGACAAAGGGAGTTTTTTTCTATCTTCAGTTTAATTATTGTTTATTATACATATATAATTTATGGTAGTGGTAGGGTTTTGAAATAAGTTTTTGTATGTCCTCCTCCTTTTGTCTGTTTCCATCAGATTATACTCACGCTGGGATAAAGAGAGACAGATCATCGATTTAGTTTAGTTTAGTCTTAAACTGTACGATTTAATTTTCAATCTTCATATAATAAAAGAAAAATAAATATATATAGTGATTAAACTGTATAAGGCAGTTGAATAATAAATATATTCTGGCTTACCGGTAGTTGTCGCCGCTTAGCTCCCGCACTGCCACTAAATCTAGTTCAATAGGATTGCCAAGCTTCAGTAAATCCTGCACCTTTATAATACTGTGCCCTTTCTCGTATAGTATCGTAAAATTGTTCCAGTTCTTCACTGTTACTAGTTGTTCGACAACCTGTTAAGTAATTTTAACCACTGAAATTTCTTTATCGTCTTTCCTTGCACTGTCAAAAGGAAACTTAAATATAGAAAGCGATCTCTTCAAGGCAACACTAGTAAGAGACAATAATAGTGTGTAACTTAGGTAAGTGTCTGAAGAACATGAGTAACGATAACTTTAATATAAATTGTAATACTAATAAAGGAGCGATATTCTTTGTGACCTAAGCTATCAGACTTTCCTGTTGCAGACTAATATGATAAGACACGCCTAAGCAAAATATTGCTAATTTTATGCCTAAATAAGTTATCGATTATTGGAGTAGTGTTGGCCTAGTGGCTTCAGCGTGTGACTCTCATCCCTGAGGTCGTAGGTTCGATCCCCGGCTGTGCACCAATAGACTTTCTTTCCATGTGCGCATTTAACATTCGCTCGAACGGTGAAGGAAAACATCGTGAGTAACCGACATGCCTTAGACCCAAAAAGTCGACGGCGTGATCACCTACTTGCCTATTAGATTTAAAAATGATCATGAAACAGATTCAGAAATCTGAGGGCCAGACCTAAACAGGTTGAAGCGCCACTGATTTTTTTTATTTTTTTAACTATCGATTAAAATAAGTATTGCATCAGTTGTGTCTAGTAGAAGCATTGATATACTCAATAAATATTGTATTCATTTATGACCCCGCCCTAGTGGACATCGTACAACTATCAACCGACGGGCGTGTGTTTCAGTTTGCGACAGTAGATTTTTAATTCTATGTACCCGTTACTCTGATCAAATAAAGACGTTTCATCATCCCTAGTGCCCTGACAAGCCGAGGTTAGAGTAGTGTCGAGGCAGCAATGTATTGGCCCTAATACCCTAAGTATTTCAAGACAAACACGACTTTCAATAATGATCTAAGAAAAATATATGCGTATTTATAATACAAGAAACAGGCACTTAAAATCAATGTGATACAAAGAAACAATATCATAACAGACACAAATCTCCTAAAGTGAATTCAGCTAGCCAATTGTGGTTATACAGGCATTTTATAAATAATAAAATACTAGACATAGTACATGTTCTGTTAGATGCCTAAGGTTAAGTTGGTCCTAATTAGAGACTTTTCTTTAATATGAGCATTTAGCTTAGGAGAATAATACACATTGATCGTTTTATGGTTTCTCTTCTATATGTTGCTATAGTAACTAAGGGTAAATAATATGTTCAGGTTACGTGATATAGCTTGATATTCTTACCATATTAAAGGCAATAGGACTAGGATACAAATTGATTAAAGACCAGTTTTTAGTATACAGGTCATTGTGTTGAAGTACTATTAGAGGTAGTTCTAGCACATCGCAAATCGCCTGTACGTGCTCAGTTGCCAGACCTCCAGTGCCGTCTATAAAACCTATAACGCCTTCCTGTAATTTTTAAAAGGTAATCAGACCAGTACCGTGTAGGAATGCTATAATATAAATATTGTTTATTTATCAAAGATGACATACGTTCAGTAATTGAATTTTAAAATTCAAATATATTTCACACTTATGGAATCTTTGACACAAGAATGTAAGCGCGTGCTCCTATTGCACCAGGCCTACTGCTGATAGAGGACAATTTTTTTTAATTATTAATTAACTATTAATTACTTAAGATGTCATGTGGAACATGGTGTAATGGTTGCAGCTCCTTACAAACATTTAGTAAAACGAAAAACTTGGCGATTAAAAACAGTGGCGGAGAGTTTATTGCCAGTTCTTCTCGTTAGTTCTACGCCCTTGATGTGAGAACTGGCAGTAAATGTAAAATTAGAAGCATTTAATATGTATTTCTTTATTGACGTTCAAAAGTGTACATTGTGTTACCTAAATGAATAAATGATTTTGAATTTGGTACGGAAACACATAGATGGGCTTTACTTTTAGCTGATAATGTACTCCACTGGTGCAGTGATCTAAAGTGAGTCTAGCCTTCGAGAACAAAGAACACCAACAGATAAAAAATACCAATAAATTAAATGGTCCAAGCATTGGTATTAAAAATTTACAAAAATCTTTACTTGACGATGCCGTAAACTATAGATGAATTGTGGATATTGGTTTAGTAATCAAATTTCATTACAACATCAGAGTCATAAATCTCATAAATAAGATTTTATATATCAGATACAAACTTAAATAGGATACATATTTTAGCAGGAGTTGGAGGCTAACGTACTATCTTTGCACAACGCGCGCGGCTTATTCCGGTGCTCAAACTCGTAAAATATTTTATCTGTATTTGCATTACCTGTGCCAGTGTACACACTTGCTCACTTATCTCCAGAATAGCTCCACGTCTGGATACTTGTACTATCTCCGCTGTGAAGTTAAACCTCTCTGCACTTACTTTTAGCGCCGTCTTCGAATCATCATCATCGGTATAGAATATGCCACCTGAAAACAACTTAAAATGTCACATTTCATTGTACTTTGAAAGTCATATGAATAAAAATTAAAAATATCTACATAATGAAAAAAAAAATGAAGAAAAAAACAACACATTTCATTGTACTTTGAAAGTCATATGAATAAAAATTAAAAATATCTACATAATGAAAAAAAAAATAAAAAAAAAAAAACAACACATTTCATTGTACTTTGAAAGTCATATGAATAAAAATTAAAAATATCTAGATTAACTTCTTAACTAGTAATAGTTATTAGAACTTGTTAATCCTATTAAAAAATAAATAAATATCTCTTATACAATTATTATTGTGATTACGCGCATAAACCCGCGATATATTGCAAAAACATTAATATTCAACAAAGTAGGTGAATAATATGGAAACGAGTTTTACAGGTACCCTAATTTAACATTAACCTAAAACTATATTTTATGATATGTACAGATTGTCAATAATTATAAATTAAACATTATATTAAAAAAGTAAAGTAAAAAGGATATGATTCGTATAGACTTCATTGGACATGTTCGTATACCTAGTATATCTTTCTATCATTCCATTCACGATTTAATTATTTTTATTAAGTTGTACCAGAGATTTAGACCAAAAGGGATTTATTTTGTATAAATTTAATTGGGCATGCTATAGTATAATTGTTGACTTAAAGACAATCCCTGATTTAAATTGACTATTTTAATAATTTAACGTGATACCGGACCAAGATACATACCAATAATGGGCTCTGTAAGTACACATCTCGTGAAAATAAACACTAACAACACTTTCACCGGCCACATTGTAATCACTTATTTACCTAATATCATGTTAATTACCATTTAATAAAAACGTAATAAACGAGGATCTCAGACGGCGTATGCGTAATGTTTAGATTTGCGTTCGTCTAGCGAGCCGCGACACGCCGCATCCAAAATAATCCGTTCTAAATTTAGTTCCAGTTTAACTCAACGACACACTTACGCAGTCACCAATTTTTGGAATATCTTAAATCAGATCTAATTTTAATTATTATAATCGGTACACAAAAAAATGTTAGTTGGTTCACTGTAACTAACCACTATTCAATCAACTCTTAAAGAGTTGATATAGGAGGTTGTTAAGTCAAGTTTTTTTTTAAATAATGAAATGCGTTACTTATGGGTATACGTCATCCTGCGGCACGACTGCTTCTTGGTGGAGGGTTTTGTGGGACTCGCTACTGTGCATACCAACTAAAACCCCATGGCACCAGCAGCAATCTCCCGAGGCAGGACTCAGTAACAGCGTAGCCTTGTCTGCATCCCGCCACGCGATCAGCCGTTGAAATCACAGCCCTCTATGACCATGAATGATGTGAAATGGACCTTGGCACAGCAAGGGCCATACTCACATCGGCCAAATTTCTCTGATTTGTAGAGCTGGGGGAGGTCGGTTGCTTGCAAGGACGGGTCAGCATCCCTTCTTTTGGACGCATGTACCCTTGAAGCGTCTGCGTGCCCAGGATAACACAACGCGTCCCACGGTGGAACTGTCGTTACTTCAAATGCTTTAATGCCTATGCCAATAACCTTTAATTCACATGGGTGATGAAGACTCAATGGTCCTAGCTTCAATTCCAAGTGAAACAATATTTTTTTCAGGTTGGTAGTTACAAAAGAATGAAATATAGATGAATTGGCAAACGAAGCAAATATAATTACTAGAACTAAATAAAGCCTTTCTGGCGCTAACTAAATTTTGTATAAAACATCAAAAAAATTGGTATTGAATTTTTCTTGAAGATTTTTATAATTAATTATAGCAAAGAAATAATTTTTATTGGTTTATACTAACCAAAAATTACCTAAAAAAGGTTTTATATATTTTTCATATCTTTTTGAACAAATTAATGTGAAAATTACTGTATTTATTTATATATTAATCAGCATAATTAATTATAAATTTTCGGTAACTTGTAGAAATTGACCATCCAAGGGTGAACATTTCTACTAATATTAACGCTAAGATTTTCTTAATTATATATTTTATCGCGTAGAGTTATCGTTGTAGTTAAACTGTCACAACGCGCAAAACTAATATTCTTACTATTTAATACTTTGTCGCACATGGTAGAGACTAGAGCTACTGGTATAGTACAGTGCGCATCGTAAAAGCAATTAGTTTTAATCTCTAAGTGTGGCAGTAGGTTGCGTGCACCGTACTCTGAATGCACAACATTAAAGACTATCCAAGGAGCCACTTGGCTTCGGTGATTACCGTTCAGTACCGCAAACCTTATCTTCCTTTTAATCTGTCGTCAACGTTTTCAAAGAGTATTTAAAAATGTGGTTACGAATTCCATGCTTAGTACGTGAGACGGAAAAATGTATAGAAATATTACTACTAAGTATATTACTATCATCTAGGATACTTATTAGCTGTCTGCGGAAATTCACGTTAATGGACGAATGCTTATCATATATTGTCTACATCAAGTGAGCCTCCTGACTCGTTTGCCTCCTGAAACATAAAAAAAAAACAAAACAAAAGGCATGTCATGGAACAACGTATCATTCAACTCGTACTCGTATAATAATCGTTCCATAAATAAAAAACTCAATAGAATAGCTATAAAGTGATACTTTATTCTAAGTATCACCTTTTTTTTATTTGTAAGCTTTTTCTCCAAGCTTTCAAAACGCAGGAGACATTACTTAGTCAAGCATATTTTAATATTCTACACATTATATTTATACTATTATACCACTTTCATGATTAGTTGGTCGAAAAATGTGTCTACCACTGGGGCATACCCCACGGAAGACTTGGTTTAACGTCTTAAAAGCACAATATTATACAGTCGTTAAGACTATTTCCAGACGAGAAACAAAACAGTTACAAATATCGTTTTGCGGATCGCCGACCGTCTAGTTCATAAAAAAGAAATAAATTGCAAAGTGATAAAAAGTGTTTATATGGACAGCTTAAATAACTCTCTCTTAACTGTGCAGTTTATGGGATATCTGCATTTATTTTGGAATCCCAAATCGATAAAACATATAACTCATGCGTCAAACTTTCCGATTCGAAAATGATCACGTAAACTGTTGGAAAACAGTTTGTAACTGCGTTTTGAAGACAAATAAACTTTAACGCTGATTAGTCACCCGTCATTGTACTTTAGTAGGTAGTCTGGATTCGAGTCTGTGAAAAATACGTGTTCGTTTAAATTTGTTCGCCACAACGCTTTTTGACGAGTTTTACATTACAGCACTTATGATGTTATGTAAAACTCGTGTTAGCTTAGTATTTGACTTATCAAACATTGTTAGCTAACACAATTATGTCTCTTATAATTGAGTGATTAAATTGAATATTTTTTCTATATTTACATCAATGGGATTATAATATATTGTACAGAGCTAGGGAAGACATATAGGAATTGAAAAACGTGAAATGCGATGTTTTTTTTCATATACACCCACGTTATAATAGAGACTGTAACATATTTAAAGAATAGAGGGTCTGTTGATATCTCGATTAAGTAAATGGGAAAAATATGATACCCTACTTCTGGAAAGTAACATTTAAATAGAAAAACCAATTTTCTTTTGCTATCTAATACAAATATTCCGTAAATGATAACCTAATTCTAAAGATACACAACTACAGAAATCTTATTTTATAAACGTTAAGCTTCGTCTGTGTAAATGATAAACGTAGTCCTATTCATAATCCGTCACCAACCAATACTTAAAATTTTGCGAAATGTATGAGTAACGTTGTTTGAATAATAATAATAAACATTATCTGTATTGTAACTTGGGCTTATTCTGCGTCTGTTTCATAGATCACTTTTCCATATAAGTAAGTGGGTGTGGTGTGACAACACAGAACGTCGGGTTTAATAAGATCTAAGACATGCTGCGTTCTTCACGTAGTAGCAGAACTAGTACGGAGTACGAGTGATTGTTACAACTGACAATATAATTCCACCCGTATTACCTTGACGTCCGCCGTTCCACAACTGAGCGTTTTCCAAGGCAGTTTTTGCCCCGCACCACCACTATGCGGAACCAGCTGCCCACTGAAGTATTTCCGAACCAATTCGACTTAGGGTCCTTCAAGAAAACAGCGTACCAACTCTTAAAAGGCCGGCAACGCACTCGCGAGCCCTCTGGCATTGAGTGTCCATGGGCGGCGGGATCACTTAACATCCTGCCCGTTTGCCCCCTGTTCTATAAAAAAAAGACGCTCATGGGAGATTATGTAACTTGAATGTGCCTTGCCGATAGTGCTTTTGCCCTTAAAACTTCCAAAAATATTATTTACATACCATCTAACTTTGCTTTGAAATATTATTTTTTTAAATTGGTTTGATTTAAGCTTATAAGCTGTTATATACTGAATAAGCTAGAGGCGTCTAGACGACGATGTCTTATTTATTTCCACCTATTACTTGTGTTATTCATTTGTAAATACTTTTCGGACTTTATAGCATAATATACTGTTATGTAGTACCAATTAGTACTGAATAAATAGTTTACAAAAGATTTGTACATTACAGGTTTTGGCTACACCGTTTATTGATATTCATCTAACAATAAGTATGTTAATTTATGGCTTGGGGATTAATATGGCTTCTTTTACGTAGGAAACTATACCGGCTACATGTTTATAATTTTTTTTAATATTACTTTACCCTACAAAGTGCCAATTAAGCTTTATATGTACTCTGGCAACCCGAAGCATCATAAACGCTTCAAAGACATCCAATTTCGTCTAGTTTTTCGAGATTGGCAATTGTTTGCTTTTGTCGTCCTTTATTAAGCAATTTAATCACATTCTTTTAATATTTCAATGTCTGGTTTAAAGAATTTTTTAATACTTTTTAAAGTAATTTGCAAATTACAATATTAATCTGAAATGCGATGTCGTGGTCTACTCAGTATACATATACATATATACATAGACGACTCGTCTATCTGAATTATCTAATATGGCCACATTGTATTATTTTTAAGTAGAAGAATTCTCTTTTGCAATATAAAATATGTTTTTACATCAATTATTATTAGGTCAATGCTATACGAAAAACTTGAAAAACAATGTTACTCGGTAATACGAAATAAATATGGCATTTATTGATAAAAATATCAGTAATTGATGATAAAAGCCTTAAACATCTTGCAGTCCCTTTAAAACCTATAAAATTCGTGAATTTAGTTTTCGAGACGAGTCGATCCACTTTAATCGTCGTTAAAGTTACGATCAAGAATATAAAGAAATCTCGGAACATAATGAAAGATAATATTTTGTCACAAAATCCAAAAATTTAAAAATACACGTGAATAAATACGGTGCTTTATAATCTGCTTAAATTCAATGATTACTTAAGGGTTTTAGTTTCTTTTGATCGGTCATATTTCGGTTAAACATATGTATGACTAATATGTGTATATAAATAGAAATTTATTCAGAAAACACTAGTTACAATTATGAGCAAATGTTAGTTACTTAAAGTGCACGATGAAAATTCGTCACGGAAGATAATGTAGACTACTGGTACGGGCTGGTTGAAGAACCATGCTTTTACTATCTCGCTACGACTGACACATCTGTGGAGCGCAATAAAAGAGCGCGTTATGCCTCGGTAGCTATTGCATTGCAAGAAAGTGAGGGTAGCCATTTAATAATCTATCCTCTACGATACTTGCAAGACCGAACGGCAGGTTAATGTTAATTTAATTTTCTATTAATTTATATATTCTGTAAGATGAAAACACAGTTTTAACTACTTATATGTTCCATTATATGCATA